ATTTCCCAAAGTGTGTGGAATGCTAATATCCCTGAGATGACAACAACACCCCTAGTGGGCGGTAGCTTAGATCACGGCAGTTCGGCTCATTCCCCACTTGTTCATCCCCAATCCCCAGTTGTTCCAACCTGTCTGAGTTGTTCCATTTAATTTTCAAACGACGCCGTATAAGATAGTTACAGTGAAACAGACATACAGACAAAAAGAAAAACGGACATTTGTGGTTTATATATAGTAAGGATAACAACTACTATGCGGGTGGCAGTGCCTGAGCTCAAACACCTATGGATTCGGCAGTGGTTGCGCAGCAATTACTGCATCTTACACTGAGAACACGAGCCTTCCCTTCACAGAGGACGAATTCCTCTTTACAGAGGACGAACGCCTGCGATCACTTACGGCGANTGTGGCAGACGTTCCGGTACAGAGAACCACACCCCCATAGTGCTATCACTGCCAGTTGGGAACACAGGTTGCCAGAAAGGGATAAGTGGATGCAAGATTACTATAGCAGCAAGGTTTCCAAGAAAAAAAGGTGGGAAAACAAGATCGCAGGATTAAAAGTAGAAATGAATATCAGACCGCTTCCAAACTTTTGCATATCGCACATTCTACCTGTCCCCCTCTCACCACTTCTCCTTGGCTTCCTAGCTTTTTTCCTTAATTTCATACCTATAAGTACATCCCTTCCCAACATCCCATACTGCGCGATGAACGGTGGTGAAATGGTGAGGTGGTGAAAATTATGTACAGCAACCCAATACCCAACTTCACATCTGTTCAAACAGCAAAGTTCTGTTGCGACTAAAGCCTACGTACGCAATGCATTCTTAAAGGCATTGCTCAAACGTCTATACTTCACTATTTCTAGCCTAACGACTAATAGCGAGAAGTAAATATACAGTAGCGCTCAAAGTAGTCGGCCAAATGCTTTCATGCTTCTTCGTTCATAACCTTTCTCTTAGTGGAGCAAATCGCGCGAAATTTTGATATGTTTAACTTGACATATTTCACACCATCCAACCCTGTTTGACGACGAAGCAGCAATATCTACATAACTAGGAGCAGGGTGGTAGCAGACTTCGTTTCAACAAAGTTAGTGACGTCTCCGTTATTTGCACCTTATGTGCGTTATTCTTCTCTACTGTGTTCAGTATTAGCGCTCGTATACTTTGGACATGGCAAAAAGAAAAGAAATCCTAGAAGTACCAGTGTCCCTATTTCCAGTTGATTTTCAGTTTAAGCCCTTTGGTATATCTGGAGCATGATCAGATTTCAGGTTAATAGTGGTAAATATTCATAATACACCCAAGCTAGGCGGAGGTGGTTTTGTGGCAAGTGGCGCACTATCTCACACGCACGGTCAGGGGCTCGAATCCCGGATCGATGCCCGCCTAAGCCAACCATGCCTTCCATACCGCCGGGGTCGGTGAATTGGTACCAGACACGTCTGGGAGGATAAAAGCACTGACTTGTACATCGACTGGCCACCGCATGTCCTTGTATAGGCCACATACGCACTCATTACGCCACTACGATTCTGAATGAAAGTCGAGTGCGGAGGCGTATCACGGGATTGATTAAAGCCAAAATCTTTAAAACCTTAAACTTTAAACACCCAAGCTAGACATATTGGAATTTCGCATAATTACATCAAGCCAGAAAGGAGTTACGAATGAGCTACTGTACATAACTTGCCAAGTATTTGCNCCGTGTGTCTGCCAGAATCCTTACTCCCTTTTTCTATTTGTGTTTGTCTCTAAATATATTATGTGACGCCGTTTGGAAATCAACTGGGTTCGAACAAGTTGGGAATTAGCCGAACTCCTTGCGTGACCATACGTAACTCAAGCTAGCTCGGCCCAGAGGGGCGGAGCGTGCGCGAAAGTTGTAGTTCACCGTGAATCTGTCTCCTGTCTCCTCGGTCTAGAGTATTTGAATTTGGCAGATATGCAGGCAGCAAGATGGGAAAACCAATGGCAGGTGTCAGACGTAGGCTCCACCCTTCGGGGGCGGGGCTCCCGCAAAAATGGTTAATTTGAACCTTCAAAATTCGGCAGGGATGAAGGCTGCAAGGTGGGAGAGCTCTTGGTAGGTGACAGGTGTAGATTCCACCCACCGTAGACGAATTGCGCTAAAATAGTGAGTTTGGACCTGCTTATCATGATTTTTGTGGAAAATTTCATCAAACAATATACAGACCAATGTACAGGACTAATATGCTATCATATGCCTACTGCGACGGGTGCGGTTAAACGAACAAAGTGCAAATAAATTCCTGTTTCGCCTACACTGATGTACAGGAACTCCACAATGGTAAACGATAAACAAGAGATTAAATATTTCGAGGGTCTTTCTTAATTTTTTGGATTGTCTCGGTTAGTATATGGATAAACGAATGTATTAGGTTGAGTCATAAGTCCTCGGGCAAAATGATAGCGATGACTTCTAGAGATCATAGCACGGGAAAGAGGGGACGAAAATGGACGTGCATGGCATTGTTAGATACAGTATGAAAGGCTCTTCAAAATACGTACTAACGAACACACCTAACTGTTTCCTTTCCTGCAACCATGCCCCATAATTTCAAGCCGTCGCAACCCCTTCTCCGCAACACCATCCTATTTCTTTTTTTATTTGGTCAAGAACCCGCGGAGATCGATAGACGTATTGAGGAAGTTTACAAGAAGGGTGCTCCCGCTAGATGCACAGTTCATAAGTGGCACACGAAGTTCACGTCGAACGTCCATTCCATCGAAAATGAAGACCGTCCGGGTGGAGGTGCTGCGGAGCCAGGTGGAAGCCGATCCGTACTAAACTACTCGTGAACTGACGGTCACCCTTGGAGAGTCAGTCCACAAGTATTTGTGGATTGAAGTCAATCGGAAAGGTGCGAAAGCTTGGTCAATGGGTGCCTCATACTTTGAAGCAGTACGACAGATTTTCGCGCCGACATAGCACTTTCTCTCCTCACGCTCAAGCGCAGGAGATGGTCAGGTGTACTCGTTAATGTGTATTTGGAAGAACTTTTAATACTCTATCTAATGATGCTTCGCGCATCATTTCCGTGACCTCCTTCCCGAGTTATGTTCCCAAGAAGTTATCGCTATCAATTTGTACGAGGACTTATGACTCAAGCTAATAAATGGTTGCTAAATGTAGTTTGCTAGAATTGTGCCTTTTCGTTAAACGGCTTATGTCGCTATTAGTTGAGACGGGACAACGGTACTGTCCATTTTTCGAAAGAGGGTGGTTACTGTGTTGCTAATACGATTACGCTCCCGGTTATCTTCGAGAAAATTCATTCTTCTACGGCCAAATTTTATGTTGAAATCACTGACGATGACCTCGAAGACAACGCGGTCTTCTCTGTAGAGCCTCTACAGATCCACTTCAGCTCTTCTTCGTAGCTCGATGTTGGTGCGTAGACATCGAAGAATGTTAGAGCTGGGGTTGAGCCTCTCGTCTCGATCCGTCTGATGACTTCGGACTTGAACAACCTAGCATTTATCATCAGATCTTCTGTACACGCTTCCGATGCAAGTGTCCGTGCGTTGAAATATCGACGAGAACAGATTGCCATCTCAGTCCTTCTCATTTTGGTCAGCCTGTTTCGCCACTGAGATTTCAGCAGCCTCTCCCGAGGACCGATCCAACGCTGCATATTGAAGGTTCCCTCAGGTCAAAGGGATCGAGACCCATTTATATTACTGGCATTATTGGCATATGGTTATCCAACGTGTAGCTTGCCCGCTCTAACGAGGGGCTGGCTCTGGATGCCAACCAGGCTATACTGAAGTGGAGGATGGATTCTTTGCTTTTGGAGGCAGGATTCTATCTCATGAATGGACCTGTGTCTCCGTCTGTTGATCTTGCACGTGAAAAAAAGTTCCGAACTCTACATGACTTGTTCAGGTGCTTCCTCAGGTTATATCGAATTGCGTGGCAGAAAGATAGAAAAACAGACGGACGCGGGAGTGATTATATAGATGATTGTCAGAAGAAGTTGTCCAGCACCCTTCTTGCCTTCATGATTAAAAATTGTTCGGTAAAATTCCCACGCGACTGGTCATCGGATAGGACTACCGCAACTGTTATCACAATGAAGAAAAGAGCTGATTCATCATCAAAACGCAGAGTCCACTACAAGACGTTATCAGTTGTTAGCACTCCATACCACCAAAAACCACACAAGCAACTACATATAACTACATTTGTGCGCCGGATAGTCGTCAAAAAAAGGAAGAAATACACATAGCTCTTGTTAGGGATTGGATGCCGAGCAGCTAGGAGTCACTGATGAGTACTGCACTACAACGGAACTTGCTTGAAGGCTTAGTTCACAAAAAAGTGGTTCCTGAAATATCTCCACAAGATTAATCCGGGGCTTCTCCTGATACCATACGTGCCGATGTCAGTTCGAGAAACAACTTGGATAGGGCATAATAAGGGGCCAGACATTGTATCGTGGGAATGCCACACCCACAGCGGACGAGTCTCAACGGTGTTGTAGAGGCAGCACTACCTTAAGAAGTTGAAACAACTTGTCATGACCCATAACGGCAAAGAGGCAGTTTTAGACAATTTTGGCTTGATGTAGTCGGCTCGTTGCGCAACTGCAACAACTGAAATCTTGACCGAATAATCCTTCCGTGCCATTTCCGCCATGGTAATCTCGTACAACCTCTAATTTCACAACTTTTGGAAAGCCTTATTTTTTGTGAAGTAGGCCTCGCGCGCTTTCTCGCTCGCTTTCTTCGCCACCGATGCACTACTCTACATCAACCCTTCCTCTTCTCAACTTAAATTGGGTACCCTCAAAATTATCGCGAACTTTGCCTTCAGGAAGGTTACAACTTGATCGAGATCGAGAAGCAGTCTGCAGCGATGCGATGCCATAAAAATGAATCAAGTATACATAGTTGATGCTATTACAGATGCGATTATCGGCTTTGAGTTTTACATGCTTGTGAACTTTTGCAGAAATCCAGACATACTCGCTAATATACGTTGTGCTTGTACTGGGTGTACACAATATTTTGAGTCCGGAGTTTTTCTCCAGTCGGAATTAGTGTATGAATACGATACGCAGCTACAAAACTACCAAAACTAGACAGCTACAAAACTGTACATTCAAACAAGCTAAATGTGAGAAAGGAAAAATGGTAAATTACCTTACAGAACTTCTTGAACGCGTCCGATATTCGTGCGTAGTATCCAATTTCTCGGGCGTCACCGAAACTAGGGTCGTTCTTACATCTTACGATATAATGTAATTGTGGTGTAGTTAGGAGACCTAGAACTTGGATGACATTGTGCCTATGATCACTTCAGAAGTAATAATTGCTAGCATAATCATCTAAATTTATGATATTACTAACCGTGGCCTTCATAGGCTACACCCATCAGGGCTGCACCAGCTTTTACCGCTTCTGTAAGATAGGGACTACTCTCGCGGGAATCCATTCCACAAACCACGAGAGCATTTGGCGTTGAAGCTTTGGGCGCGATCTAAAAGATTTCTTCACTTCGGAAAAGTGAAAACAACGTCTCATCCGCTCTGAGATGATCCCAAGCTCACCTAAACTTCCAGAGCTCGGACAGCCGTTGGTAACTGCGCGTCACTGGCATTTGCAAGCTTTGATCCGTACTTCTGAAAATGTTTCGAAGATTTTCGCAAGGAATAGAGTATTCAACACACGCATGAGTCACACTTCCTGTTTTTGGCAGGCCAATAGACTGAACAATACACGTGCAATCGTTTACTACGACCTGTAACGTGACCGACAATAATATACAAATCTGCAAGCTTATATATACATGGATGGGGGCGGTGAACAGATACCGGGAGAAAAAGGCGCATCGCACCAACAACAATGCTCAGGTTACCTACTTGATAGCACACTTATGATACCGATAAGTCATCTCTTCGGCCTCGTCTCAAGTGGTACATATAATATGCATCACCTATGCAGATGAACTAAACTAGTTGTGAGCCCACAACACTAGGGCGGAGCGAAACTAGGGGTAGCTATCATATAACTTGTACAACAACAGCAATGCTTACTTGAAATTTATTGTGCAATGCACTTACAATAATAGACAAACGAAAATCAACATGGCCATGTGACAACAATGTTAGATATTACAATACAATTTTCATTATTTATGTATACAATGCCACTTTTTGCAAACGCCTTTCGTTTTGTAAACTTCTTTGTCGCGGTTTAGGTCCATGTGTGCCTTGGATCGGCAGTCAGCAACCAGGTGCCCAACCACGGAGCAGACCTCGCAGTGCTACAGTTGGGCTCCGAGATTCGTCTCTATGAGGCACTTCCATTGCACGTTGAGTCCACAGTTCCAGTGTGTGCGTTCTCTCGTCATTCTTCAAAAGCGGTCCTCCATTCGATCTTGCTTCCGTTTGATGTGGTTGACGGCATAGAAAATGTCCCGAGCGTTTTCGTTCAATAACACGCCATTCTCATCGTATGAAATTAAGAGAGATCGCAGTGTAGTTTCTGGTTGCGCGATAGGCATCCTCTTTTTTTTGGGGTGTTGCCGTGGAGTGCATTTTGGAGGTCCGCTCCAGACGCGGTTCAGCAGGAGGAGCAGGGGTTGGACTAGGCTCTTGGATATCAGCCAGTAGCGCCTTTGCTCCGAAGATATCCAAGTCCAAGAGATCTTCCTGCTTTTCATTGGAGGAGCGTGGAGCTGCTGATGACAAGGGCATTGGGTGAATGTTGTTGCTGGCTGTTAGCGGATGACTATATGTATATAGATGGCTGGATTGCTTGAGGATGTACGGTGTCCTACTTATGCCGTACTGAGGTATGATCCTGGATAACGCTAATGGATCAGGAGCCAGGCTGAGGTTTGATATCATATTTATATGTACATGAGTATGCGAGGTGCAGTAATTAGCACAACGCTCGCGCTATGAGTTTCGGAACCGTAAGGACGATTGCGGCGATGAATATTGCAATCGTGTTCATTGCCAGAATTACTGTTTTCCGGTGTGCTCTAAGTCGGGAAGCTGAAAATGTTGACGTAGTTCGCATGCTCAGCTTTGCGGTGGCGAGTTGGAGTTTCCCAACGTGTGGAATGCTAGTATTTCTGAGACGACAATCTTGTGAGATTTACGTCCACATCGCAGATACCTTTGCATCTCGGTCTTGTTGCTTGATGGTCGCAGTAGTTTGGGCTGTGAACGAGTTGCAGACGGCGGCAAATAAATTCCTTTGGCATTTCACTTCTATCATGATCGGTTGATTCGAGTAGCAT